TACATCCCCAAATAGGTAGTGGAGAAAGGGGAATTCTGGCAGCGTGTCTGTTTATAGTCTGGAGGAAGAATCCTCCCTTGGGAAACCTCCGGTTTTGCTCTTAAGGCCTTCAACTGATTGGACAAGGCTCACCTACATTGGAGGGTAATCTGCTTTACTTAAGGCCAAATGATTTAAATGCTAATCATGTGTATTTCATAGCAACATCTAGTGTTTGATCCAACAAATGGGCGCCATAGCCTAGCCAGCTGACATAAAATTAACCATCACAGTCAGCCATAAGAAGCTTAACTTTTTTAAGGCTATCTATACAGTAATCTCCCCTTATCCACGGGGGATACATTCCAAGACCTCCCGTGGATGCCTGAAACCACGGATAGTACCGAACTCTATATATACCATGATTTGTCCTATACATACATACCTATGATAAAGTTTAATTTAAGTTAGGCACAGTAAGAGATTAACCATGATCACTAATAATAGAATGTAACGATATACTGTAATAAAAGTTATGTGAATGATGGAGTGGGACAAAATGAGATTTCACCATGCTATACACATTTAACATTTTGAACCGTGGTTGACCACACGTAGCTGAAACCGCGGAAAGCAAAACGGCAGATAAGGCGGGGCTACTGTATTACCACGTTTGAGCACCACATCTGAGATCGGTATGGAAAGGCTGCTGAATGAAGGACAGTTAATGCACGTTATCTTTTACAGGAGATGAAATCATCTACAGCACCATGGTTTCTCAGCCACACCACTAGTGACATTTTGGGCCAAATAACTCTGCTGTGAGGGCTGTGCTGGGCATTGTAGAATGTTTAGTCACATCCCTGGTCTCTACCCACTGGATGCCAATCGCTCACCCAGCTGTGATGACCAAAACTATCTCCAGACATTGTCAGATGTCCCCCCTCTAGGTGAGAACCATGGAGCCATAGCCAAATAAAAACGAAAAAAGAAAGTAAAACCAACCCCCCAAAGTACTGTTCACTACAAATCATCACATTCTGTATAGGACTTGAATTTTCATAATTTCATATGCAAAAATGATGCAATTTAACAACATCTGTTGTTGTTGTTAGGTGCTGTCGAGTCAGTTTTGACTCATAGCGACCCTATGAACGAAACACTGCCCAGTCCTGTGCCTTCCTCACAATCATTGCTATGTTTGAGCCCATTGAGATAAATGCTCGTGTTACCAAAAAAAACTTCCAATTTGCCTTAAATAGCGCATAAGATAGAAAGTACACAATAGTTTAAACATGTATGGTCTGCCTCATGAGGTAATTCTCATGCAGTGAAGGACAAGGGCTTGTTTAAATCAGGAAACAAAGGCACAATTTGAACTTGCTATTCCATGAGTACAAGACAGAATATAGTCTAGAACTAAAAAGATGGCATTATCTGAAGGATATTTCCTGTTTACTAACAGACCAACCAACACATCGAATTCTACTGAAAAAGAAAGCTGGTGGGGGGGAGGGTTGCTGTTCTGCTAGAAAATAATATTCCATTCATAAAACAAGACAAACTCAGAAAATTGTCAAAATGTCATTTTAGGCTTTATTTTTGGACATGTAGCATGTTTTAATAAATCAGTTTTACATGTGTGACTTTTTATAATATTAAAAGAAATACAGTATATTTTTTAAAAATTCCTGCTCACTATAAATTCATTTGCAAATAAATATAAGTAGCAGGGTAACGCAATATGCTTTCACATACTGACCAGTGCAACGCTGAGTTATAATTAAGGTATCCAGGAAGCCTGAAAATCAAGATTTACAGGAGACAAGCAAATTTACTTTCCATTTGTTAAAAAAAAAAAATCCAAGGAAAATAATTTTAATTTGCAAATGACATATCTTACATGCAAAGACAACTTTAAATCCTGTCTTAAATAATTTACACCAAGTACATATGACAATTTTGAAAAAAAAATAAGCATAGTAGTATGCCTTTAAAATTTGCTGAATAGAATAAATAAAAGCAAATGTTACAGTTTCTCACTTTATCACAAATATTGGCACTGCTGCATTGCATATTTATATAATTCCGTTTCTTCCTATGAAAATCCCAATAAGAGTCAATGGTTTGGATCAGTCCACTTTTCTTCCAACAAAAGAAACCCTAATTTCTAGATTTTATAAATTACACTCTTGTATTTGTGTTTTAATACAAACCAAACACAATATATTTCTTTTATATCAGTGGCAACCAGTTCATAATCATGTTAAGATACTTTTAAGAAGTTTTGTGAATGCTGTCATTTAAAAAGTCCCGTAAAGAATCCCAATACCGACAGAACCCATCTAGTCCGCCCACGAGTGCCTCGTCCCTTCAATCTCAGTTTTTTAATCACAAAAAAACTAAAGAGTTCAAAGAATGAATAATACACACTATGTGGCTAATTTGGGGTTAAAAAACCCATGGCTCAGGGCAACCATATTTACAGTTAACAACATCTACCCACAAAGAGATGGTGTTTCTAAAATTTTCACAGAGTGATATAAACAAAAAAAAAAATTCTGGGGTAGAGACTTTACTGCCAATACTTATTGACATCGGCGAGGCCACAAGTGAAGGATAGCGACTTACAGCAAAGGTGCGGGGTAGCAGCTGACTTGGGGATGGCATGCCTTGTGTGTTCTGCTCAGAACACACGAAGACAATTACAGAAGGCAAAATCACACACTGAAAGATGTGGAGTTTCTGCACGATCGTCAACAGTGATATCGGTCCTTAGTGTTTCAAATGTAAAAAGTCTTTTCATAAAGAAAACAGAAGACAAAGGCTCTACCTAGGAAAACGTACACAACAGGATCAAACAAGTGTGCAGACTAGGCCGGCCACTTTGGGGCATGCTGGATCTTTTACACCACGGCACATCGACTGTTTCTACAATGGAGTAAGCCATTTGAGTACAAAGCGAAGACGGAATGCACCTCTGGTCCTTACTAGCAAGATGTATCCAGCTTAATGTTCTAATGGAACAGGTGCTCAAAAGATGCTGATAACTAACAGACCATCTTACCGGAGAACCCTGCTGATGATATATGACACCTACCGAGTACACCCAATAAATGTCTAAGAACAAGACTTGGAATAATTCATACAGTTTGTTGTATTTCCCTAAAGAAAACTTGTAAACATCTGGAGAATGTCTGATTAATGGTATAACGTTAAAAACTGGCCAAAAAAATACCCAGAAAACGTTTGGCCGTTCAGCACCCAAAGCTCCCAAAATGTAATGTTAAAACATCTCTGGTGGAGGGATTTTAGTAGTCTGAAAAACTGCATACCTGAGTGGGCTTAAATTTTCTCTCTCAAATTTTAAATAAGTGCAAGGAGTCTGAACACTCAGGGATTGCATAAGTTTTTATCTTTCCTCAAAATAAAACGTTGAATGATACAGAGGTAGCATAACTTACGAAATTAACTTTAAAAACAAAAATTCCGCTTATTTTCAATAGTCTCAGTAGAACGACTGCGGATGTTTAAAATCTTACTATCCAGGCTTTCTTTTACCTGGTTTTAGAAATCTCGTTATTCTGGCCCCTTTTTTTACTGTAAGAATATCGATGAGTCCAGGCTCCCTTTGGCCCTGAGGCATCTATTGCGACATCAATGATAGAATCTGGAGTCACCCATCGCAGGAAGATGAGGAAGAGGAAGTTGAAGACTGCCAACAAAGCAAAAATATAGCCTGTTACTGGGCCACAGTGAGAGATGAGGCGATCCAGTCGTCTGTCCATGGGTAACACAGCTTCCCCGGCCACGCGGTCATACACCTGGAAGGAGAAGAGGGCAGGGAATGAGCACTCTGACCCACTACCAGTCCACGGCCAACGGTGCTGTACATGCCCCAGAAGCATTTTGTATAGGAACGCACACCGAAGTTGCTTATGATTTGTTGTTGTTCTTTTCTTATTAATGACATCATTAAATTAATGAAGTTAATCACAGTCGTTACTGCAATTCAATACTTAGCACTTATTCTAGGCAAAACACTGTGTGATACAAAGACGAATAAGCCACGGTTCGTCTCCTCTAGGGGACTGCCATCTATTTTAATTGGCTTCTAGAATTCCAGGAGCCCCGGTGGTGCAGTGGCTTACTGCTAATCCAAAGGTGGGCAGTTCGAATCCACCAGCTGCTCCATGGGAAAAAGACCTGGCCATCTGCTTCCGTAAAGATTCCAGCCTAGGAAACTCTACGGGGCGGTTCTACTCTGTCCCATAGGGTTGCTAGAAGTCGGAATCAACTTGATGGCACACAACAACAACAACTAGAATTGCGAGTCTTGACAAGTCTGGGCAGCTTTTCAGTTCACCAGCTGGGTGGCAATAGGAACTCAACAGGGACTTCCTGAAGCAGGATTGGCATTCTAAAGCTCCTTGACTGCTGAGCTAGCTTCCTCCAGCATCTGGTACACATCGACCCCAAGAGAGAGCTACAATCTAGTGTGCTTCTGGGCAAACTGGGCTCTTCTTTCAAGGGCCATGCGAGACCATGTCTCTGAGCACTGACTTTGAGAACCTGCAGAAACAGCTCAGGGACTTCAAATAAAATGGACAGGAAAGAGATGGGGAAATTTTAGTAGATGGTATAGGGCAAACATTGGCACTATAATTTAAAATATTAAAAACCAAAGACTTTTAAAACATAATTATTTAAAACTAACAAACCAAATGGGTCAGCATTCATGTTTTTTACTTGAATTTGAGCATTACTTATGCTCATTCTCGGGCATCAGACCTGTAAATCATCCCCTTTTGAACTCAAAGTTATAACCTACCATGCAAGTTCTAAAAACCAATGGCCTTGGAAAAACCGAAAAACCAAACCCGCTGCCGTCGAGCTGACTCGGACTCATAGTGAACCTACAGGACAGAGTAGAACTGCCCCATAGGGTTTCCAGGGAGCGCCCGGTGGATTCGAACTGCTGACCTCTTAGTTAGCAGCCATAGCTCTTAACCACTACACCACCAGGGTTTCCAATGGCCTCGGAAAGGTACAGGATATTCCCATCTAGCTCTTCTACCCTGAGGCCATTTTGAACGCAAACATTTTAATTAATATTATACTGAGACTGGCAAGTTGCAACTGAAAGAGTATTTTTCCAGCATGAACTCTAATTTCCTGACCAATTTTCTAAATGGCACAGCTAAACTAAGGGGGAGAAACTGCAAAGGATCAAACTGACCTGGCTGCCCACCTTTGTTACTAGGTGATAAAATACCAATATATGACTATGAAGAGAATCTTAGGGATGATAAATCATTATAGATAAGGATTTGCTGTATTCTAAATGTATACTATAAATCACAATAGAATATTAAAAAAATGGATGTTTTACTATTACTTTAAGTGTTATAACTAAAAGAAAATTTGTGGTTAAAAAAATCCTAATTAACTCGTTACCATCAGGTTGATTCCGACTCACAGCGACCCTATAGGACAGAGTAGAACTGCCCATTAGGGTTTCCAAGGAGCAGCTAGTGGATTCGAACTGCCGATCTTCGCGTTAGCAGCCTGAGCTCTTAACCACTGCGCCACCAAGGCCCCAATCAGTCCCTTTAAAATATGCCGACCATTGTCACCATTAAGCAGTTCTCTCCCTTGAATCTATTATCTGCAGTAGTTTTGACTTATGAGGTTTACATGATATCTATCAAGGTCTGGTCACAAGTAAATGAACTGTGGTCCTTAATCAGGGTGGAGAATAAGATGGATATCACCAAAAAATACCTGTCTAACCAAATATCCCTGCTGACCAAGATTCCAGTTCTGCTCCTAAAGAGTCATATTAGAATCCAGGGAGTGGCTGGGTGACGGGGCACGAAGATGACATGCAGAGTTTAAAAGGCCACCTAGGTGATTCTGACATGCACTCCCAACGGGTAATCGGCACTAGGCTCCAACTTCCAAAGGAAAACAAGGAAAAGGCAGCCATTTCATATGGGTGGTCATACTGTAAAACTTCTAGAAGGTGAGAGTGTCTCAAAATATTTCTGTCCAAAATGTTTGACTGTTCACTTAAATATCTCATATTTCAGCAAAAAATGTATTGTATGGCAATTTTTAGACATGAGTTTTTACACTTGCTTTTAAATATGGCTTCATCTTATGTACTAGACTTTCAAGTTCAAACCAAATAAGAAAGCCTTACAGTAAAGAGCTATCTCTTTACTCAGCTGCTTCTTGCTATCCACTTTAGGCTGAAACTTGTTGATCCACAGAACAAACTGCCAGTATGAAAAAAGGAGTAGCCTAAAGGACGGTTTTCTCTGCGCTCCCAACTGCTATCTTTCGGCTTCACAAGTCCTACACAGTAAGAGGCAGAGTTGCTTCCATTTAGCCTGTCACTTGGTGATTGGACGGGTGAGGTAGACAAAGTAAACAGAGTTATTTAAACAAAGGACGAAAGTGAGTAGAATAAATGAAGTCACTAGCTCAAAACAGGGAATATTTGCCACAATTGTACTTTCCTTCATAAAGGGATTAATCTATTTTCTGAACTCGTCCTTCTGGAAATTCTCTGTTGCTGCTTTTCATTCCTGATGATTTCTCCAACATTCATCATGTTCTTTTTGAATTCTACCTTGTTATGTTCCCAATCAGCCCAAAGATGCAAAAATCCTTTTCCTGCAGCAAATTACAGTAGCCAGAATATTGACACAAGAGTTTTAGGAAGTGGCCTGAATTAAATACTTACAGGGTATAAAGTTGCTGCAATTGGGCTAAGCAAAACTATATATTTTCTGATAGACCTATATGCATTAGAATTATAAACAGACTCAATAAAATGTCTAAAAGTCAGTCAAGAAATGAGTTTTAATACTAGTGTTGCCTCTAATTTCTGTGACTTCTAGAAAATTGTGTAACTTCTTCATGTCATGCCCAGTTTAATGAGGGGTTTAGATTGGTGGCACAACAGTTAAGCACTTGGCTGCTATCCAAAAGGTTGGCAGTTCAAACCCACCCAGCAGCTCCATGGGAGAAACACCTGGCGATCTGCTCCTGTAAAGATTACAGCGTAGAAAACCCTCTGGGGCAGTTACATGGGGTCGCTGTGAGTCAAAATCAACTTGACAACACCTAATAACAACAGACTGTTACTTCTATTTTTAGATTTCAAATGCAATGATTTGACTAGAAACTCAGCCCATCATGTACCGAAAGTAATACAAAATTCATTTCTTTTCATTTGGAATGGATTTCACAAACTTAAGCAACAAAACCGAAATGGTAAGCCTATATGTAAGAACAAGCAAATGTGGACATGCAACATCAAGGAAGAGTTCAGACACCATCTTCGAAGACCCTTTTCTTAGGGTGTGACATACTTTTTCAGTTCTCTCTGCAACGTTCCTCCAGGTGTAAAAAGTCTTTACTACGTTATGGATACTTTCTGGAGCCGGTAATGTTCCTGACTTCAGTTGGGAAATAGCTTTTTCCAATCCTTCACACAAAGATTTTACTGAAGGCTCACATAAAATAATAAGATTTTCTGGAAGTACCTCAGGAATTCCACCAACCCTGGTACTTACAACCTTAAAAAGGGGGGAAAAAAAAAAAAGAACACATTATCCACTCTAATTCATATCCCAAGAAAATAAAACCAACTTAAAAAATTACTGCTGAATGCATATGATTATTTTTTGAAAAGACAAATACAGGAAAGCCAAGAGCCAAAACCCTCAAACCGTTTTACCTGTAAACCACAACTGGCTGCTTCCACAATTGCCATGCAGAATGCTTCGGTGAGGGAGGTATTAAGAAAAATATGTCCTTGAACTAAGACATTTCTAACATCCTTGTGTTCTAAGGCTCCCAAGAGACGTACCCTGATTTTTGAAATGAGAGGGGAAGAAAGAGGGGAGTGAAAAAACATGCTACAAAAGAAGTATAATTTATAAGCCAAGTCAGCTACTCATATTATACTGAGGTTCTTACCGGTTCTAACGTTTTCAGTCTCAAAAAATTAGTATCACCAAATTCTGACCTAAAAAGAACAGCCTCGTAAAGCTATTTGGTTCAAACACTTCTAGGTAACCTATTTCTAACTTTTGTGGAACAGCAAGCAGTTAGGGCTATGCATATCAAATTTCAACTTCTCCAAAACTAGTTTACTTTTAATGAAAATATATTAATACACTTGGATGGTTAATGCCCCTCTGAACTGGTGCTTCGCATGTTCATGCCTGGCATGTTATCTAAGTTATTGAAGAAGAGAAATGTCAGTATCTGTCACAGGCAATGTCCATGATTTGTGCAATGGCATTTAAATCAAAATACAGTGAGGCTTGGAAATCTGCAAGCTTTTCCAATCGAAGTTGCTGTTTCTCTGCGCTTTCAGCAGCGCCTCCAACCACTGCCCCCAGTATCAAATGATAATGGACTAATGGGAAAAATAAAATTGTGAATTCTTTAACCATGTTTTCCTATTTTCTATACAAAAAAAAAGAGGGCCTTGTATTGTATTTTTGTATCAAGAACATTTAGGAGAAGCAGCACATCTAATACAGGCGTGGAGCCAAAACCAAATACGGACGGTCGATATTTCCTCCCCCAAGATAATACAGAACCCATTGTACCTGTCATGTAGCTGGTATCTTTCCCGGACTTCTTCCAAAATGATTCTCTTTGGTCCCTCTCCTCCAATTATGAAATTTAAATCTGGATATTTATGACAGAGTTCGGGGATTATGCCACTAAGCAAATCAGTCCCTGAAAATATAAATAAAAGTTGAGTGTTGGAAATACATTTAAACTCTTTAAAAATATTTTTTCCACTAGAACTGAGAACCCACTCACTTTGAAGGGCAGTAGCTATGCTCTCCTTAAAGTAGAGAAACTAATTCTCTGAAACCTTTCCCAAGAGGGCGAAATCAGTTACAAACTGCTACGGGTCCCGCCAGGACTGCAGTTCTTAAAGATAAATACCCTGACATCCAATGGTCCCTTCCACACCCAAAATCTGTGTCATTCTGTCTCACTTCAACATACCATTAACTTTAATAAGTTATTCACTTGTGATTTACCTATGGCTTGCTTCTAAAACAGCTAGTTGAGGTAGCTAATGCTAGAGTTAAGCTTTGCTAGGGACAGCTGACTGGGGATCTACCACCTGTCCCAGTTTTTTAACCAATGAGCTCTTTGACTGTGGGAAAGTTTCCTGATCTATAAAATGAGATCTATGTACCTAAAGTCCAAGGTCTCTTTCAGCAATAAAATTCTACCAGTCTATGATTCCACTTTCAGCCATAGGCAAAGGCTAAGCAACAAAGCACAACTGTTGTCTCTAGTTTGTTCAGAATGCAGAGTTTTGAAGTGAAAACTATATTAGCAAAGTTGAAGAATGGTCCATCCCAACCACGGTAGCTTGCTTCCCGGAAGAAAGAGTAAATGAAGGTGGTAGGACCTCAACTGTCAGATCATTACAGTTCATAGAACAAAAGGATGTCTCTTGCTTCCTTTTGAAAATAAAACAATTTTCCTATAATATGGAAATACAACCTCGGGTAATGTAAAGCAATAAAATAAATCACGCCCTACTAGTCTGAAAAAGGTAGTGGCTATCTAAACTGACAATAATATCAGCACTGTTTGGGAATTTCATTCAGTATAAATTACAAACTATATACATTCAAAAGTAAATATAAAATAATTCATTTAGATCTATACTAAACTCATTAATTTAAAAAATGCATACATACACACACATAAGAATTGCATTTCTTATATCAATCTTCCCAAATATGGGCAGATTAATTATTAAATAGATGGTGAACTATATATACATATATATATATATATATAGTCATTTTTATTTAAATAATTCAAAGTAGGATTAAGTAAACTCTGCTAGTACTTTCAAAATATGACTGCATTTATCAAAAATAAATTCATATGCAGCTTTTTGCAATTCTGAAGCCTTCTCATTAAAATCTTAGCTATCTTTGTTTCTAGTCTATTACCAAATCCATCGACTGGATTTTAGATAAACCAGAAGGTGGCTTAATACCTTTTAACGTTGAACCTCCTATAAAAATCCAGAAGCACATTGCTTCATATGCCTTTAGGTTCTCACCTCACTTAAAATTGCTTTTTTCAATTGGCAATTGAAAAGTATGCTTTTTGAAGGTAAATGTGCAAGAAAGGTGATGCAAAGCTCAAATCAGTGGACCAGTAGGCCAAGCCCGTGGCCTCACATCAACCACTGGCAATTCAATGCACATTAATAACATCTTGACTTAAATACCTAAAGGAATATATACATATATACATGTATATGTATATTTAAAAAAAACGATTCCCTACTTTAAGTGACATTTTTTATTACTGGACTGCTTTTCAGACCTAAATCCAGAAGACAATGTATGTTTCTGATGACCAGATTCAGGACTGTTTCAGACTTTTAGTAAACGAGGCTCTGCAAATCCTATTGTGGTGTCTGTTAGGTGCTGCAGAAGCACCAAGAAAACTCTTCCTTGGTTAACAGTGAGCACTTATCGAGTATGTACTGGGCTAAGTACAGGAATCATCGCCAAACCCTCACAAGATCCCCATTGTTGCCCAAATTACACAATGAGAAAACTGAGACTTAAGAGATGTTCAGTAACTTGTCCTTGGTCACACAATGGGACAGAGCCGGGATCTAGACCCAGACCGGCTAACCCTCTTCCATCACTTACCGAGCATAATATGTTATTAACATGTTATTACATAGGATTCAATGAAGCAAGCAAGCTACGTAACAGTAACGTGCAGAGCGAACCTACTGATGTTAAGTATGTGTACATACACGTGAAAGAGACAGGAAGGCTCTAAGTCAAATACTCATTAGGGTCATCTCTGAATCGTATGTTTATAGCTGATTTTAATTTCCATCTTTGTGCTTTTCTGAGTTTTCAAAATATCTGCAATGAGAAGACATTACTTTTGCAATCAGAAAGCAAAGGCTATGTGGTGGGCTCCACCCTGTACTTCTCACTGCACGTGCAGAGCTGGTTTAATTTTAAACGGATCTGACCTTTTAATAAATAACAATCAACATTAATAAGAGTAAATTAAGAACATACAGTCTCAGGTTATTAATTTTTTTAGTAACTATTAAAACATTAAAGGTTGGAGGAGGGCAGCATTCACTACTGTTCCAAAACCTTTTTGGATTTATAAAACAGTATTAGATCTTTCTTTGCTATATTTAATACAGACCAAAAATCCGTTGCTGTCATGTTGATTCCGACTCATAGCGACCCTATAGGACAGAGCAGAACTGCCCCATAGGGTTTCCAAGGAGAGCTGGTGGATTTGAACTGCCAACCTTTTGGTTAGCAGCCGAGCTCTTAACCACTGTACCTCCTGGGCTCCTTCTATTTAATACAGAAGCATTTATAAAACCACGAAACAGAAAGACAAGCCAAACAATCATTATATGCAAGTATTCAACAGCCTTCTACAGGGGAAAAAAAAAGGTCTGTGCGGTGCCATCAGAGCCATCATTTCATTCATTACCTTTTCTGTAAACAAGTCTGCTGACAACAACAATAGTCATTACACTGTCAGGCCGTCTAAATGGGTCTGGAGTGAAGTCAGTAGGATCTACAGCATTCGGAATGACGGACACTATTTCAGGATTCAGTGCGGCTCTTAGAACAGTGTTTTCTTTACTAGTGTAGGAGACACAGATTATGTGGTTTGTGTCGCAAAGAGACACCGTTAGAAGCTTGTTTGTAAGCACCGAGCTGACATCAGCAAATCCAAAAAGGGAATGGTCCGTGAAGACTGTCTGGAGCCCCATGGTCTTGGCGTGGAAAAGGGCATCATGGGCCATGGCAGAAAACGAGCTATGGGAATGGATTATCGTGACTCTCTCCCGAACAAATATGTACCTGAGCAACGGCAGACTGTGAAAGAGGGTCGTGGCTGTAGACTGGTTGTACATGACTTTCAGAGGCAAGTAATAGACTTTGAGGCCATTAGTGAGATAACGGATGCCTTTTCGATTGCCATAGGCATGGGTGACAATTATGACCTTGTGCCCTCTTTCGATCAGGCACTGAGAGAGCTGGTAAATGTGGCTTTCCACGCCCCCCATATTGGGGTAGAAAAAGTCCGATACCATGCATATGTTATGGGTCCGAGTTCTATATGTGGAATATCTTCCAGAGTTAGTGCAAGGGAGTGCAGCTGAGGGAGACAGGCCATGCCAATCTCCTCCTCTAAAGGCCATACTGAGAAGGTTTACACATCAGTCTTCAGAGCAACCCAGTCAAGACGTGTGGCATTTATTACCTGCAAAAGAGCAAAACGGATCTCAGCTCAGGGACAAAAGACAGTCCGACTTCCACATCTAGATATAAATGCTGCTTTCAAAGTCATGAAAATTTGTTAGCTTTTCCCCTAGGAATCAATCAAAGTATATAATGAATTTACCTGACTAGGTCTTAATTTTGCTCTAAAAATACATAATTAATAAAATTAAGTTTGTTACACCACAGTATATGATCTGCCATGCCAACAAACCAGTTCATTCAAATATTAAAATATACACACACACATTTATCACTCTACCAGCTTCTACTTACTGAATGGCCACTACACATCAGGTACTATGTGCTAAGAGACTGCAGCATCAGCAAAACCATATGAGGTATTATCCCCATCTAACCGATGGAAAATCTAAAGCTTAGAGAGGTTAAGGAATTTGTCCAAGATCATTCAGCTAGTCAGAGGTAGCAGAGTGTAGCAGTCTGTTTCATTGATGGCCACATCTTCTGGTATTTATGCCCGTGCATTTGGACTTGGTTCACCCCACAAAATGTGATGGAAGTGATACTGTGCTAATTTTGGGTCTCAGCCTGAAAAAGGCCTGGCAACTTCCACTTGTACATTTTTGGGAACCCTAAGCCACCATGTAAGAAGTCCGGCTACCATACTAGAGGGACCATAGGGAGAGACCCCGTGGAGAGCTGAGTCTACATGGAGCAAGGGAGAGGCCTTGCCAGTCCAATGTTCTTAGCCAGGCCTAGTCTCTAGCCAACTTGCCAGCTAAATGTCGTGGGGTTGTTAACCAATGTCATAAAACAATATGTGTACTACTGTTTCATGAGGAACTATTCTGTAAACCTTCACCTGAAATACAATAAAAAACAAAAAATTAAACCTCTCTGCCACATTGTGGGGTTGTTAACCAATGTCATAAAACAATATGTGTACTACTGTTTCATGAGGAACTATTCTGTAAACCTTCACCTGAAATACAATACCAAAAAAAAAAAATTAACACAGTTTATAAAGACAATGTTCTACATTCTAGCTTGGTGAGTAGCGTCTGGGGTCTTAAAAGCCTGTGAGCAGCCGTCTAAGATACTCCACTGGTCTCACCCCTTCAGGAGCAAGGGAGAATGAAGAGAACAGGATACAAGGAAAAGATTAGTCCGAAGGACTAACGGACCACAACTACCAAGGCCTCCACCAGACTGAGTCCAGTACAGCTAGATGGTGCCCAGCTACCACCACTGACTACTCTGACAGGGATCACAACAGAGGGTCCTGGACAGAGCTGGAGAAATTGTAGAACAAAGTTCTAACTCACAAAAAAAGACCAGACTTACTGGCCTGAAAGAGACTGAAAAACCCCGAGAGTATGGCCCCCAGACACCCTTTTAGCTCAGTAATGAAGTCACTCCCAAGGTTCACCATCCAGCCAAAGATTAGACAGCCCCATAAAACAAAACAAGACTAATAGGGCACAACAGTCCAGGGACAAGGACTAGAAGGCAGGAGGGGACAGGAAACCCGGTAATAGGGAACCCAAGGTTGAGAAGGGACAGTGTTGACATGTTGTGGGGTTGTTAACCATTGTCATAAAACAATATGTGTACTAAATGTTTAATGAGAAACTATTTGTTCTGTAAACTTTCATCTAAAGTACAAAAAAAAAATTACGGCCTAGAAAACCCTATGGGGCAGTTCTACTCTGTCACGTGGGGTTGCCACCAGTCAGGATCGACTCAATGGCAAACAATAACAACTTCTTACAGGTGGCCCTATTGCCTAATCTACCCAGGGTTCTCCTTCATGAAGTACATAGCCACAAACACACAAGAATATTAGATTTTCTTGCTTCAGACTCCCCTGTTGTTGCTTACAAATAATGTATACAATAAATATTTATACAACTGAATTTACTGCTAATCACTAAGAGGGTAAAGAAAAAAAATCACAAATACCCGATTCAATGAATCTCAAAAAGTTCTGCTAGTATAAACTTTGTGGTCTACATTAAAATATACCTGCAGCTAGAACTTTTTCAGAACACCATTTTAACCTGTAGCAGGTGCAGTGAACATCCATATTTTCGCCTTTCTTACTCAAGAATGACAATAATCAAACTGCTCCCTACATTTTTTTCTTAACCCTTCTTTCAGTTTTGGCTTCAGCCTTAGCTCCATGAGTGACCTTCCCTTCAGTCTGGCGTCTGAAGATAAATGTTAAAGTAGAAATGGGCTGGCTCTGGGGCCATGTCCTACAGCTAAAGAAGTAAATGTTTATCTCAGGGATGCCCCAGATCCCTGTCAACGTGAAATGCCCACTCAACATACAGTGTTATTACAGATTCTTAGACTTTTAAGTTTAAGAGAGTCTTGGCGAGCTAGTGAAAATCTTCCTCAACTTTGAAAATGAGAGTTCCACAACTCCAAAAACTCTAAATGGGAAAGTCATCCTAAAGCTCAGAGTTTCATAATTCGCCTGCAAACACAGAAAATGCAAATTAACTGCATATGCAGTCTTAACTATTCCCTCCGACAAATCTATCTCTACATTTTAAACACATTCTTAGAAATACTCAATCCATATTTGTTAAACTGGATTTACTAATCAAAAGTCAATATTAACACATTGAATATCACCATATTCAAATTCTTCAAGCTTGTACTTTTAAGTGGGTCAACTAACATTTTCTTACTGTGGATTATAGCCTAAACCTGAACTTCCAGTTCTATTCAATTAGAAAAGATGAACGATAACGAAAACAGTGAGTAAAGGGCTAAATGAAATCATTTAAAATATTCTTGGCAGCGTTCTGTAACGAGTCTGCCTCTTCCACGGAGTCATCACCCCTAGCGACTGTGGCACAAAGGGTTAATATAAGGCACAATCACAGAATCTTGGATTTTAAAACTGAAGAGAAGCTTGGAGATCCAGTGCTAAGCTCCCTCGCTTTACAAATACGAAGCCAGACAAGTTGTGCGATTTGACGAAGGTCCCCACCCGGCCACTTAGGTGGCAAATACCAGATGGCCGTAAAATTCTCGAGCCCCTGTGCGGAGTTTATAGCAGCAGAGGCTCCCGGGGAGCTTTGGGAAGGCCCAGCGAGGTTGGGGTCAAGAGGACGATCTTTCCACAGCACCTTTGGGCGCTGCCCGGGCATCACTCGCTGAGAGTGGCTGGGCAGCGCGAGGGCCAAGAAGGGGACGCTCCCGCTCAGTACCCGACCGCGGCGACCCGCCGGGGCCAGCCCAAGCCCCAGGAAGGAGGCAGGACGACCGGGAGCTGACTGGGGCCCCTCGCCTCACCCGCCAGCCATAAGCCTCCGAGCCGGCTCCAGCGCCGCCGCCTCCACGCACCTTCACCTCAACGCCACTGAAGCTGCCGAGGGTGCGAGAGCGGGGAGGCCGGACCCTCACTTACCCACGAGTCCCATGGCCGCCACTGTCCGGACCTCCCGCGGCTACAGCCGGAGCCCCGGCCCGCTGCCCGGAAGCACCAATCGGTGGCGTTCGCCCCCGAGCGCCGCGCCCCCACGGCAGCCAATCACAAAGTGTCGCCGGGATTACGTGCGAGGAGGAGCTCAGCTTTCCCCCACGCGTCAGCGCGGAACGTAACGTCAGTGGGCGCTTGCGAATATTTCCACGTTGTTCCGGAAGACCTAATTTCTCTGCATTGGAAGCAGTAATCCTCAGTTTAACCTTTTATGTGAATTCCTGACGTCTCGAACCTCTCGAAAACGGCTCTGCTCTCTTACAGAGACAGCCCGCCAAGGCCCTTCGTTTCTCAGGGTTAAATTAGAACTCCCAGCGTGCTTCGCAGCGGCCCTCTAGCGCTACCGGGAATTGTAGTCTGGTGGCCTTTGCAGGCGAATCCGAATTTAGCAAACTGCTCCGAAGATGGGTCGCGTTCCACGCCAGAAAGCTGCGAGCGGTCGGTTGAGTTCGCTGCACGGTTGCCTAGTTACGGCGTCTCTTTTCAGGAAGCCTGAGCTCGGTCGGCTTGCTTCCGGCTGGGGAGATTTTTGTGTGGGAAAATAACCGAAAGCCAGGGTTATAGTGGAGTTTTGTTTGTGATCATCTGTGCCACAGCACAAGCACGCTGGTTCTTACCACTCTAGTAGGGTTGCCAGATTTAGGAAATAAAAGTACACGAATAAAAAAATCAAATAAAACAATCTGACGTTTGAATTTCAGATAAGTAACCAAAAAATGTTTTGTTAATGTAAGTATGGCCCAAATATTTGACGAGGCGTACTTTACTGACAGATCGTTCGTTGTTCATCTGAAATTCTAATTTTACTGGGTGCCTTGTATTTAGCAACCCTGCACTCTGGGGGAAAAAATGTGAGGTCTGACCTGAAATATCAACTCCCATTCAAACTGGTTGAACTGACTGTTTGGCCAGGAGGTTAAAGAATCATTGGAAGTGGTCTGATGGTCATTCACCCCTCACCGGTAGTACTCGGAGTTCCCCAGCCCTGTCATGCCGGCACTTTCTGAACACCATCACCACCACCTTACCACGACCCCTTTTAAGCCTGAAGAAAGCCAATTCATCCCGGAAGACCGCGGCTCCTTTTTGATGTCTTCCTTAAGCCTCCAGACAGAATGAAATACTCCTTTTTGCACTTCTATATGACTTTGGCCATACTACTAGCATACCATTTATCAGGTGACATTCAAGTTGTTTTGCCTGGCTGCTATCCACCTTTCTCCTGATCCTGATCCTCCATGACTTGTCTTCTTGGATCTCACATGGAATTTTTTCTGAAAATTGACAATTATATTTGCTTGTTAAATGCCTTCCCCATCAGATAGTAAGCTGAGGGAGGGTCTGCTCCTGGTAATAGACATTGAATCACTTTTAGTTGTATTAATGAGTTTCTTCACCCAGTGCCAACACAGTCCCTGACACATATTAGATACCAATAAAAATTTATTGAAAATATTTCGTGGAGTGTATATTATAAAATTACAGCCAATTCCATAATTCAACGAGCAATTTGGTTGCAGGATTTGAGGTGTAGTAATGAACTAACTTTAATGAGTAAGGCTCAAGTAGGAATAGATACTCCGTCTAATGGGGTTCCCAGGTGGCACAAATGGTTAAGCGCTCGACTACTAACCAGAAGGTACTAACCAAAAGATTGGCAGTCCAAACCCACCCAGAGGCACCTTAGAAGAAAAGCCCTGGCGATCTGCTTCCGAAAGGTCACAGCCTTGAAAACCCTAGGAAGTGCAGTTCTACTCTGCACATGTGGAGTCGCTGTGATTTGAAATCTACTCCACGGCAACGTTTTCCCCCCCTGTGTTAATGGTGAAGCATCAGAGAATAAAGGTGATGAAGACTCGAGAACATTTATTCAAGCTTAATAACTTGCAATTTGCTTTCACAGCAGCAACACTGCCAGATGGGACAGCATTGCTTTGGTCTAAAGTGATGCTGGCCCCTTTTCATTTCCTGCAGTAGGTTTTAAGACACTCACAGAGTGTGGATAGAAATCCTGGCAAATGAGAGTTACGCTCACAATACACACTCGAAATTCTACGGTCATCTCCTCTAAGAGCCTGATGTCAATACTCTTTCAAAAGAGTTGTGATATTTTTTCGGGACAGAGTAAGAATTTCCTGTCTTTATCATCAAGGAGCCTTGGTGGTACGATGGTTAAAGCGCTTGGCTGCTAATCTACAGGTCGGTGGTTGGAACCCACCAGCTGCTCCACGGGAGAGATGTGGCAATCTGCGTCTATAAGGATTACAGCCTTGGAAATCATATGGGGCGGTTCTACTCTGTTCTGTAAGGTCGCTATGAGTGGGAATCGACTCGATGGCAATGGGTTTGGTTTTTTTTTTTTTGGTATCTTATCATCAAACCTTTAATGAGTGCCCATCTGCAAAAGGCTGTGCCCGTAATACACGGACTATAAAACATACCCACTGCCATGGAGCAGATCCCTACTCATAGCGACCCCTCAGAGCCGCTAGTGGTTTCCAACTATTGATCTTTTGGTTAGCAGTTGAGTGCTTTAACCACTGTGCCACCAGGGCTCCTTATTAAACATAGCCCCTGTCTTTCAAAGGCTTTTTATCCTTTCTAGCTGTTTCTATAGGTTTTACCAATAGTGAAAAGAGATCCACTTTTCTTAACAGTTTCTTTGTGTTTTAAATACTGTAGAATAGACGGGCTTTTATAAATAGATACCCACAAAGGCACACCGATGTTGAGCCCTGAGGGGAGAGGGGTGGAAGGCCAAGGAGTCTGCAGGGTGTTATCAGTCGGTTCCAACCAAGCCTGCAAACATTGAGCATCCAACATGTGCCAGCCTCTGACCTAGCCATTGAGCATGAAAAAAGTAATTCAAATTATGATTCCGCCTCTCAAGGGTTTACCATCTCACAAGACTCCATTTGTAGTCAAGAAACCTTAAGCAAAGGTCTCTGGTTTAGGCTATTTTCTAAAAGGCCAAAGAAAGTTGTAGCAGCTGGATTGAGATCTAAATCTGGGGAGAATTCTAATTACAACCTTCTGCCTAAATATATGACCTCAAGGTAGCCTTTGGAGATTTTCTTAGTAACCGCTGCAATGAGAAGATACTTAGATGCATTATATTCTGATTAATAAAATATGAGGGCAATCCAGATCAGTTGTAGAATACAATGGCCTATAAATATGGAATCACCTTCACTTGAAGTTCAGCTCTTTGCAAATACATATGTATTAGCTCCTTTGGATCATTTTGGAGTGGGAAGGCAACAAATACACATTGAGAGTCTGCTAGCTATGTGCAAGTTGCTTTGCAGGGCCAATCTGACATGAGCTTTACAAATGCCAAGGAACCAAGTCTGCGTTAGGGCATATGTACATATCTACGAGAAAAGCTAGGAAGTGATATGTGCTCTAAGAGAAATACAAGAGAAATAATGGGAGTTCAGAGGGAAAGAGTATTTCCAGCTGCCAGCATTTAGCTTGAAAAATAAGCAGAGCGCGTCCCTGCAGCTGTTGGAAGCAAGATCATCCCAAGAACCACGTGAACAACGAATGAGCATGACTATGTTTCAGTAAAACTTTATTTACAAAAACAGGCCAATCCCGGTTTAGAACAAACAATCTCTATTATAAAATGACAGAATATTTTTGGATATCTTTCATTTCATAAATATTTTGGGAAGAGAAATGAATGAAATTCCTTTCTAGAGTTGCAACATCCGAATAATTCAGATATGCATGTAATCTAGCTGAGTCTGAACAGTATCCCTAAGGGACCTCCCACCACCCTGCTTGAGACACAGATTTGTGAGCTGTGCTGTTGCATTAAAAGATTCCCTGGCCTTGTGGCTTAGATAATCAGGGACATCACACCTCCCTGGCACTTGTGTTTGTTTGAAGCTCTTGGGGATTCTCGCATATTTGTATTTTTATTTAATTTTCAGCCCACATTCCAGCACTATTAGTATGACCACTGGTCATTGCACAGGGAGGAGTGATGTCCCTGGGTGGTGCAAGCGGTTAATGTGCTTGGCTGCATATTAATGGCTGGATGTTCTAGTCCACTCAGAGGCACCTTGGAAGAAAGGCCTGGCAACCTACTTCCAAAACATCAGCCATTGGAAACCCTCTGGAGCACAGTTTTACTCTGACACACATGGGGTCTCCATGAGTCGGAATCGACTTATCGGCAACTGGTTAGTGTATGTACATATATGTCTGTGTGTGTAATTATCTATCTATCTATGCAAGATGCTGTGAGAGGGGCATCGATTTTTAAGTTATTTGCCTTGCCGCTAAATCTGCAAATTATTTGTGTTGGTGCTCTGGTACACCAACCTTTCAGTAACACCACACCTCCGACTTCTAAATTCTTTTCTCTTAAGAACATTTTTTGCTTTAGTCTGAAATTTCGAGTGGAAGCATATTAAATAATGCATAAGAGTGTATGGCCTGAATAATGGTGTTTATTTTCTTTAAATACATTTAAATATGAAACATCGAACAGTAGTTCAGTAAACTCAGAAGCTACAGCTGGGGAGTAATCAGGAAGTCCGTGCTGGTCATACAAATCAAATTATGTATAAGAGAGAATCATAATAATTCACAAGAAAGTTGCAATTAGCAAAGGACTCAGAGGCTACGCACATTTCTTCACGTGCTCTGAGTAATCCATCACATGGCACCTGCCACCCCAGGACGATCAGACCTTTTTCATTCACCAAAAAATGGTGACACAGAGTTTCTGTTCTCCATTCCTTGGCGTGTGGAGGCATCTTCAGTTAGAAGACATCTGTCATGAGCCAGGGGATCCTTAGCAGGTGGTTAATGGAAGCCTGCTCCGGATTCACCCTGCTACTATGGAAAGTGGATTTTTTCTGACACCTGGGAAAAAACAGTGACAGCAACTTGGCAAAGCAGCATGCTGTTTACAATGGCAGGGGCGGGGAACTGGAGAGCAAAAGCTGAATCAAGGATTTTTTCGGCTTTGGAGCCCATGGGCAGCTCTCTTCTCCTTTGGAAAGCGGCAGTGCTTTGCACACGCTGGTTTTCCATTTGCACATGGTCTGGTGTGAAAGGGACATTTGTCCTCACAGCTGTCGCGAAAGGAAATAAATAGGAGAATTCAGAATCAAGGCTTGAATTCAAAGGACTAACTGTTCCAATTTAAGTTTTTTCAAAGTAAAATTTCCAGATATGTATTTAAAAATATAAAATCCCAAATGGTCATTTCACATGAATTCCAAATCTCTTACATCCCAATCAGTAACCTCCAAGTGTTCTATTCATCAATAAATTTTTCACTATGCAAATCCAGTGACATCCATGGCATCAAAGTAAAAATATACACATATACATACATATATAGTGAGAGAGATTGAACCAAAGCGTTTGCTGATCTGAAACCCCCCTCCAAAAGAATTGTTTAAATCTCACCAACTTAGTTTTTGCTTAAGAGTTGTGAGTCAACTATAAAACCCAACCAGTTGCTGTCGAGTCAACTCAATTCATGGCAACCCTGTATGTGTCAGAGTAGAACTGTGCTCCATAGAGTTTTCAATGGCTGGTTTTTCAGAAGCAGATTGCCAGCCCTTTCTTCTGAGGCACCTCTAGGTGGAACTGAATCTCCAACTTTTCAGTTAGCAGTCCAGCACATTTTACCATTTGTAGCACCCAGGGACTCCAAACCAATAGCAGGCAAGATTTTCTTGACTTTAAGATTAACCATCACTCTATATACTCTCTTTTATTCCTTAGTTGCCAAATCTCTTTTACTACCAAAAAAGTTGCCTGGGCACTAAGAAAGAATTGGCTTCATAAGGAATCCCACTGATTTGCAATGGTATTTACATTCCGTGTCGATTGGGTGGAGTCCAGGCGAAAGTGGAAAGGCCATTCACCTGCAGGTGTCTGGGTGAAATATCTTCTGCTTCTGGCAACAGCTCTCCAGACTTTCTCGGCACTCAAAGCAACTGCAGTTTTCTGGGTGCTGGAGGAGATCTCGGGGACACGGTGCTTTACAGACGCACTCGCAATGATCTTCGTCAAACTTCATATGCAGCCCACAGAGCACCAGTTCCCGGAGATGAGAGTGCTCTAAACAAAAACAGAAAAGTGTTGCTTGGGTAGCTGCAGCCCGGATAATGTGGCCACTAAACGTGGTTGCATATTCTACATCGTCTGAAAGTTACTTGGATTCCCCTTATCTCCTTTCCTAAAGATGTGTGTCCCTCACCTCTTCACTAGGGGAAGGAGATTCACTTCAGAGTTTACAATACAAACACGGAACGTGTGTGGGTTCTTGAGTTTGTGATAAAAAATCATTTTTTTGGATAACATTTTCAGAGATTTTTAGGTTGGTGACTTGTTAAAAATGCAAAATTCTACCTCCAGGTATTAGTAATAAAATATAGGGGGCCTAAGGGCCACACGGAGCTCTGGTGGCGCAGTGGTTAAGAACTCAGGCTTCTAACCAAAAAGTTGGCAGTTCGAATCCACCAGCCGCTCCTTGGAAACTGTGTGGGGCAGTTCTACTCTGTCCTATAGGGTCACTACGAGTCGGAATTGACTCGACGGCAATGGGTTTTTTGGGTTAAGGGCCATATGAGTCGGAAATCACTCTGGCAGTGGATTTGGTTTGGACATAAGTCTAGCCCTCCTCAGTTTTTAACCAGTTGCCATGGAGTCGATTCTGACTTCTGGTGACTTCATGTGTGTCAGAGTAGAACTATGCTCCACAGGGTTTTCAGTGGCCAGTTTTTTGGAAGTAGACTGCCAGATTTTTCTTCCAAGGTGCCTCTGGGTGGACTCGAACTTCCAACCTTTCAGTTAGCAGCACACAAGCACGTTAACCGTTTGCACCACCCAAAAAACCCACTGCTATGGAGTCGATTCTGACTCACAGCGACCCCCTAGAGCAGAGCAGAACTGCCCCATAGTTTCCAAGGCTGTAATCTTTACAGGAGCGGACTGCCACATCTTTCACCCAGAGAGCAGCTGGTGGGTTCAAACTGCCGATCTTTTGGTTAGCAGCCGAGTGCTTTAACTGCTGCACCACCAGGGCTCCAAGCGCCACCCGGGAACTCCTAAAGGATAATTAAAAAAAAAAAAAGAAAGAAAGAAAATCCACTATTGTCAAGTCAATTCCAACTCACAGGAAGCCCTTAAAAGAGATGCATTGATCACTAGGTGGCAGTAGAGATTCACGCAAAACCCTTCAGGTGTGATCAACTCTGTTTTTCGACAGGGCGGTTTAAGGAGAACAGTCCATGTGTGTTTGCTGAACTTCAGCAAGGTCATTGGCAAGGGCTGTCCTCACATCAGTCTGGGCAAGTTAAAAGGAACATAGACAGGGTGCAGGGGAGCTGGACGGATCAGCAAGTAGCCAAGGGTGATACCCTGAAAAAATACACGGATTTCAATCCCTACGGTCGTTGATGATGGAATACCCATGTCCTGTCCATCTTCTTCCTTTTATCATTTTTACCGGTAAATTGATGAAATTTTTTCAAGTAACTTTTTGAAATTTGTAGCTCTCTTGAGGAAAAGAGGTATTGAATACTTTAAAATACAGAATCGGGACCTCCCACTTTTTTCTTTTCTTCTGTTTTTTTAACAGTTTAGAGCAACGACCTGGATCTAATAAGATGAAATCAAATTGGACTTGGATTCACTAACCCAAACGTGCACAATCAGGACAGAGGAGGCATTGTAGAAAAAAAGCAGGTGACTCAACAGCCACGTGCATAGAAAAGATGCTCAATGAACAGCAAGCTCAGTACATGCCATCAGTCTGAGGGAGTCACTGGAGATGCGACTGTGAACTTGGCCCACGTGAATGGGATTATGGGAGATGAAGTGATGGGGAAGCAGGCTACCCCCGCGTCTCACATCCATCATTGCTACAGCTTCCCAAAAGGTCCCCTGCTCCCTCTCATGCCCCGTGCCAACCCATCCTCTTCTACATGGCCACTGTGCTGATGTCACTAAAATTCTAATGGATGGTGTCACTCTTCTGCTTGAACCAGTTCAGTGGTTTCCTTTGGCCCTTAGCATCACATCCAGGCTCACAAGGTCCTTCCACTCTGCCCCTGGAGGCCTGTCCAGCTTCCTCTCTCACATGTCCCCAGCTTCTCCCATGTGTCCCCTCCATGCTGCACTTCCTCCAGTAGCCAGGCTGTGCTATGTCCTCTCACCTCCAACCCTGAGCTCTCATTTCCCTGTGCTCAGAGCACTGCCCTCTTTCCTACGCATCTTCCCACCCTGAACAAGTGTGCACTGGCTGAGTCCCTCTCGAGGAATTCCTGTCAGCAGGAAGAAGCTGCTTCACCCAAGGGTATGCCTCCGCCAGGGCGCAGCCCATATCCAATGGCTGGTCCATATGGCCCAGCCCCTTTGCCTCTGAAGGGCGGTCCCAGTTTCAGCTCCCCTGGGATTGGCTGAGGCCCCTCTTTGCACAGCATCTCAGTTCACGGTCTCCCTCTACCCAGTCCTGCCTCCCTCACACAGGATTGTTCCTGGGTCCAGTCCTCTGTCTCAGAGGCTGTGTGCAGGGAAACCGCAACTACAACAGTCTTTATGCTCTATATAGATTGTCTCCCACGATAACTTTCTCACGGTGCAGGTAGTCCCCAACGTACGACGTATTCAAGTTACGACGAACTGCACTTACGATCATCTGTTTTTTTCTTTGTACACCTTATCGTTAGTAATATGTACTACATACAATGTTAAAATATATTTGTAAGTTTATATGTAATGTTTCCAACCCCCAAAGACAAATAAAGATCGGATTTATAAAGATACTGATAATAAAAGGCACTAATAATGAAAACTAAAAAAAAAAAAAAAAAACCAAGGTATTCGACTTACGTCAGAACCAACTTATGACGGAGTCGTCAGAACGAAACCCCGTCGTAAGTCAGGGACTACCTGTATTAAAACATGAGTCACATGGAGAAAGGATTAGATTGGTTTGACATGACTCTGTAGGGTAACAGAACATTGTCTGACTCGCTTGCTTTGGGCACATCATCAGGAGGGATCAATCGCCGGAGGAGGACATCATGTTTGGTGAAGCAGAGGGCCAGTGAGGGCGATGGAGACCCTCGGTGAGATGGATTGGCACAATAGCCCCAATGAGGGACTCGAACATGCTGGTGATCATGAGGATGACGCAGGACCAGGCAGCGTTTTGTTCTGTTGTACATAAAGTCTCCATGAGTCGGAGTCGACTCAACGTAAGCTGACAACAACTATAGGGTAAAACCTTAACGAATGAGTTGATGTTCTAGAGCTTGGCTGTCCAACACAGCAGTCACTGGCCGTATCTGGCTACTCGATATCTGAAACATCACGAGTCTGAATTGAGATGTGCCATACTGTAAGCCCTGGGGTGGTGCGGTGGTTAAGCACTCAGCTGCTAACTGAAAGGTCAGCGGTTCAAACCCACGAGCTACTCCATTGAAGAAAGACCTGGCAATCTGCTCCCATAAAAGATTACAGACTAGGAAACCCTATGGGGCAGTTCTACTCTTGTCACGTGGGAGCACTATGAGTCAGAATCAACTCAACAGCACACACCAACAACAACACATCTCTTTGGGTTTTTCTTTAAGATTAAAAAGCAAAAGGATGCATTGGTGGGCTTACGATATAATTATAGCACAGACGGCTCCAGAATCTGACTGCTTTTGTCATTCCTAGCTGTGTAACCTTGAGCAAATTACTAGACATCTTGGTGCGTCCATTTCGTAATTGTAAAAAAGGGATAATAATAGTACATCATAGAGGTGTCGAGAGGAGTAAATGAATTACTACATAGAAAAGGCTGACGGCACTGCTGGCCATCGTAAATATTCAACACAAGTTAGTTTTGATTGTTGTTATTACTATTTCACTGCTGCTATCATTACCTTCCATTCCTCCGAGGGGATTCTCCTCTCGTAAAACACATTTACATTTGTTGCCATCCCATAGCATGTCGATGGGACAGAGTTTCTTGGAATGGGGACATCTAAGAAAAGAAAACAATGAACTCGATTTAAAAGCTTTCAAGGGTAATCATATCTTTGGGGCATTTTAAAAAATGTGCACTGATATTTATGAACTGCATGTACAGTAGTAGATGGTAATTCTCTGTTGGAAACCTTTGGAAACTAAACTGTAATTTGGGAAAGTTATAACCTTTTCCGGAAGATTGGTGTTAGAGACTATGCAGATTATAGCTGTGGACAGACTGTACTTAGCAAAAGTAAATATTGTTCTAGCATAGCATCTAAGCATTATCTTCTTTAGAATGGAGATGAGAGCATTGGCCAGGACAGCAGGAACATGTAGAGAATACACGTTCCTCTCTATGAGCTTTCTTTTGCGGTTAAGAGAGGCAGAGGTGTCTTCTGGGCTCAACGTCACCAGTACCAGTCGCTGTCAGCTCTGACCCATGGCAACCCCATGTGTAGAACTGTGCCCCGTAGGGTTTTTAGTGACTGATTTTTGGAAGTAGATTGCCTGGCCTTTCTTCTGAGGTGCGTCTAGGTGGACTCAAACCACTAACCTTTCAGTTAGCAGCCTAGCGGGTTAACTGTACCACCCAGGGACACCTGGGCTCAATGTTAATTAATATAGAACCACCAGCTCACCCTTTTACTTGCTACTCTCACAAAAACGGCTACTGCTTCACGTCTGCAAAATTTAAGTAGCCAGTTTAGTTACTTTATGTTTTCATTCAGTGTTTGTCATTTGCCCTTCATTTGCCTCTCTGTATTAAATTCTTTTTTTTTTTTTTTTTCCAAATCAATGATCCTTACCTTCAGTTTCAGGACACTTCAGGGTGTCATCATTTATGAAGAATCACAAAATACTCTCAAGAAAAATTCAAAGTCAAATGAATTTTAAGTCATTTTCATTTAAAATGAAATTTCCCATTAATTTTCCATTAAGAAATCGTAAGAGGGAATATCAGAAACTGATATGATAGTTTACCACTCCCCAATAATTCTTGGAATCCCTTCTCCCCACCCGCCACCCTATTTCAGGATTGAAACATATAAACAGCTTGAAATGAGTTTCATTTATGCGTGTTCTGGAAAAGGGGACATTTGGCAAGCTTGAGGCTGCAGCACATTTTTACAACTGCATTAAAACCCGCTGCCATCAAGTCAAGTCTGACTCATGGCAACCCCATGTGTTACAGAGTAGAAATGCTCCATAGGGTTTTCTGTATGGAAGCAGATTGCCAGACCTTTCTTCCGTGGTACTTCTGGGCAAGTTTGAACCACCAACCTTTAGGGTAGTAGTCACAAACTGCTTGCACCACCCAGGGACTCCACATCTGCATTCAGCTGTACATATTATGAACAAAGAAGTTCACAAGGAGACATGCTGAGCTTTTTGGTCCTACTGCAATATACATCTAACCCACCCCAACCCACTGCCGTTAATTCGATTCTGACTCATAGCGACCCTATAGGACAGAGTAGAACTGCCCCATAGGGTTTCCAAAGAATGGCTGCTGGATTCAAATTGCCAGCCTTTTGGTTAGTAGCTGAGCTCTTAACCACTGTGCCACCAGGGCTCCAATATACACCTAGCACCTAATAAAGAATACATTTGCTAAACAGTTATTACCAGTAGAGCTGGGTTAGAAGCTAAAGATGAAGAACTTGACGTGAAAGCAATGACTCTGTAGTCATCAAATGTGAAGGATTCTTCACATACAGCTTTGACAAAGGCAAGAACGAGTATAATCGTGTAAAAGAATTGCTTACCGATCTTCTTCAGAGAGCTGGACGGACCTTCTGATAATTGAGTATGGATGGCGGGGAGCTGTTGACAAGCACTTACAGCCCGTATGGTTGGCAACTTTTACAGGCACTAATTCAGGTATTGATGTCAAAGGTACTGATATCTCAAAGAGCTACAGCAGAAAAAGATAACCATGAATACATACATATTTCTGAAAAACAGTTTCTACAGTCTACATGATTGCCTTTTGTCCTTCATGGTAGTAACTTTAGCAAAGCTGGCCATTAAGAATAGAACCAATAATGATAAGGCGTGGCATGCTGGAAAGAAAGCTGGGAGTCAGGAGACCAGGGCCTTAGCCAACTTGACCAAGTGTTTAAGTTTGGTCGAGTCTCTTCACTTTGCAGTGTCTCTGGTACCCTTGTAAAGTGGCACTGTTGGTCCCTGCTCTTGCTTTAAATTTGGATGTAAGTTGTAAGTATGAAATGAGATTATTGTTACGAAGATTCTTTGAGTTTGGTTGGATTTGAATATCATTCAAAACTACTTATCTCTTCCCGTTACCATCTCCACTGAAGGACTAGAGTTTCCTGTCCCTTGACCTTGGACTTGGCCCTGTGGCTTGCTTTGGCCAACGCGATGTCAGCAGACATGCCACAAGTACAAGCTTGAACTATGCACGTATTCTAGGGCTTGTTTTCTGATGCTTATGCCATAGTCATGAGCAGAACATGATCTAGCTGGCCTGCTGATCCAAGGAATGAAGGGCCTGCAGCTGAGAGGCCAGCCCTGCCTAGCCCATTCTAGAGTAACCAAACCTCAGACACATGAGCAAGAATAACAAATCGCTGTTTGAAGCTACTGAGTGTTAGGGCATTTGTTATGCAGTGCTATGTAGCAATAGCTGACTGATACAAGATCATCCTGCACAAAGAAATAATTATAGCTAACATATCGTTCTTTCTGTGTTTTCATATGCCAGGCCCTGTTGTTAAGTACTTTTTCATTAATCCATTTAGCCCTTATAACAACATTATGGGGTGGGTATTTTACTATCCCAAACCTTACAGGTGAAGAAACAGATATACAGAGAGGTTATATAACTTGCCTACAGCCACACAACTATTGATTGGGAGAGTGGGGATTTGAACCCAGGCAGTCTATTCTAAAGCCAGAGGGCAAGCTCTTAGGAATAGGCCTTATTGCTTTTTGAAATGAAATCCATATGACCAGAGGAGCCAGGTGGAGCCTTGGCCAGAAGAACTTATAGAAAAATGCCAATTACTTTGTTTCTAGAGTGGTTCTGTGACGTCTAGATGAATTTGAACTTGATTTTAATGTGTTGTCTATTCAGTCACCATTCCACGTAATTCTTACTATACAGAGTATTCATTTATTCACTTCGTTTCTAAGAGGCAGGTCATCAAATAGTCCACAACTTTGGTGTGAGAGTTTTTTATTTTATTTTTTTAACCACTGTTATGATGTTCAAACATGCATGTTTGAAAAGAAAAACTGCTGTACACTTACACTTAAGTACATCCCTTTAAATTAATCACTTGTCGAGTGGAGCAGTCAAAATAAAGTACTCAACTGTTTATTAAGTGGAAACAATCCATTAAAGCTGTGTTTATTCTGATCTTTCAATATGTAATGGAGCCTCCAGGAGTCTAGGTCAGAGACTGTTTTGAGAGTGTTTACTTTGCATGAACTTCACCTTCTTGCGCAATTTTCCAGCCATATTCCAGGGAATAACATGGTCATGAGCTAAAGCTTCTTACGTTATGCAAGCTGTGTTTCTACTAACAGTTGGGGCTGAGTCATGCTTAGGTCATTTTTTTTTTTCCCCAAATTGTCAAACAGTAGAGGTCAGAAATTTCACAAGTTCCAAGATTCTGTAAAAGGAAGGATTTAGAAAAAGAAACTCTTCAGTTTAAGGGCTATTTTGGGTGGGGAAGGGCAAGATTAAGGATAGTTAACCTATTAAAAAATCAACATTCCACTCTGCATCTAATGAAGAGATTCTTTAATATGGATATATTCAGTGCATATGGGATGTTACTGTTTGTGCTTTCTCTTTTCACAGTCATGAGGAGAAGAGACTGCACAGGCAAGTGTGACAATTAAATGAATATATCAACATACGTGAGGAATTTGTAACATATAACCAAAAGGGATGTAGTTTGACCTGCAGATTTTTAATATCATGTTCCTAAGTTTTTTACCACTGCTCTCATATGGAACATTTATTATATTGTAAAACGATATCGTAGTGACAGAAAGAAAACTTACTACTGAGTAAGGGCAAAGGGGATTTTAGATGATGGAGAGGGAAGAATTGTTTCTTCCATGGGGGCTGCAGACTTATTTTCATTTTGTGCTGGACATCCTCCATTTGTCCCTCCAGAGACACCATCCTCTCTCCTCCCTTCGTGCCCCCAGAGGCTGACCTCCACCTGTAGCCCCACCTCTAGCCCTCTCTGCCAGGCTAAGTGGCCCCGTGGCTTGCTTTGGCCACCACTCCTCCAGTCCAGCAGCCCTTTTCTCCATTTCTCTCTGGGTGCCCATAACTGCGCCCTCCCCTCTCTTCCATCTAAGGGTGGGAACAGCTTCATTTAATTCTTCATTCCTTTTAACATCCTGTTCTAGTAACGTCCGTAGGCTTTTCCAATTCTGAACATTATAGCATCAGAGAAACAGTAACTGATAAAGAGTTCAGGCTCCGGAGTCCTATGGACCTGGGTTTGAATCCCAGCACTGCCTCTCACTAGCAGTGTGACTTTGGATGAGTTACCTCTCTGAGCCTCAGTTTCCTCATCTCTAAAGGGGGATAACAAAATACCTGCCTTTGCACCTTGGTTCAGGGAGCAAATGAGATAACGCACATAACACACTGAACACAGAGCTTGGCAACAAGGTTAGGTGCGGCTGCCAACGCCATCATCATCACCCGGGCTTGGGGGTGGACCCGCTTGCTGATGTCCTCGCACCTGCTTGGAAATGTACGAGGTGCTCGTGTTCACACAGACGAGGTTCTCTTCATTGCAGCAGCCGCCACACCGGAACACGTTCACGCAGGGCGGCTTGAAGAAGGTGTTGGTGCTCTGCCCCAGCTCGCTGGCCACCTCCACGCACGTCTCTCTAGGGCTGCACTGGGTTCTTTGCCACTCCTCGTCTATAACTGCGGAGAGGAAGGGCATTGGGGCCCCGCCATGCCAACGTGGGCCCGAGTTATGCTGAACACGGTCATTTTCACATTTCTAGTGCTTGCTTACTTCATTAGGTGGATTTTTTTGTTTGGTCACTCCTTGAACCGAAGATTGTTTTCAGAAAAACTAAAACCAAAATCTGTGTTCCTTCCCGTTTCTACTATAACCAAAAAACCCAAACGCATTGCCATCGAGTCGATTCCGACTTATAGCAACTGTGTAAGACAGAGTAGAACCGCCTCATAGGGTTTCCAAGGCTGTAAATCTTCGCGGAAGCAGACTCCCACATCTTTCTCCCTCAGAGCAGCCGGTGGGTTCGAACTGCCGACCTTTTGGTTCGCAGCTGAGCACTTTAACCACTGCGTCACCAGAGCTCTTTATTCCTACTGTATATTCATAGAATATAATTGTTTTATTTTTCTTTGTCGTATATAACGACAATGTGCACATCTGGAAAAGCTGGCTAATAAGGAAGTAAATGGGAGCATATAGAGAAATAATATGTAAATGCTGTTATTAAGCAATTTACAGGATACAGCTGGATAGAATTACTTCCATCCAGGAAGGTATGGGTAGGTTTTAGCACCATCAGGATACGCATTTCTGTTGGCCACTTAAGTAACTATACTCAATGCCACTGAATTGATTCAGACTCATAGTGATCCTATAGGACAGAGTAGAACTGCTCCATAGGGTTTCCAAGGCTGTAATCTTTTCAGAAGCAGACTGCCACATCCTTCTCCTGCAGAGCGGCTGGTGGGTTTGAACTGCAAACCTTTTGGTTAGCAGCTGAGTGCTTAACCACTGCACCACCATGGCTCCATTAAGTAACTATGCCCAAGCCAATTCTGACTCATAGCGACCCTATACGACATAGTAGAACTTCCCCATAGGGTTTCCAAGGAGCAGCTAGTGGATTCGAACTGCTGACCTTTTGGTTAGCAGCCGAGCTCTTAACCACTGCACCACCAGGGCTCCTAAGTAACTATACCAAAAAAAAAAAAAACCCCGTTGCCATCGAGTCGATTCTGACTCATAGCTACCCTATAGGACAGAGGAGAACTGCCCGATAGGGTTTCCAAGGAGCAGCTGGTGGATTTGAACTGCTGACCTTTTTGGTTAGCAGCCGAGCTCTTAACCACTACACCACCAAAGCCCTACTATAGTAGGTTTAAAACCTGGCAAACACATGAATGGAAAGTTAAAAGGAAGTGATCTTTCTATAAGGCAGAGTTTTTCTCATCTGCAAATGCCCAATAGTCAAGTTTAACTAAATTGATGAAATAAGCCCATTAATTCTGATGGAAAGAGCAATACTCTGTTCAGTCTAGCTAATCTGAGGAAACAAGACAGAAGAGAAAAACGCCTCTGGGAATAAAAAGAAAATACATACTTTCTTATAAAACAGTATTTGCTTTTTTCTCATAGTTTTTTTTTTTTTTTAATTAGATGTTGACACTTTGATACTTAATATTGTACAGGCCTCTCTACAGATGTTTTTGGGAAAAGATTGAATTATGTGATAAAGACAACATTTAAAGGCATTACTTTAGCTTACCATGGTACTGTAGAGTTTGTTATATGTTAGAGGGTGTGTGTGTGAAAACTGTCTTGTGGCAGGCTGATTCTAACTTGACTCCCAAAGACCCTCTCCTCCTGGTATTCACTCCCTTGAGTATTCCTGTCTCCCTGAGTGTGGGCTGGGCCTAGTAGCTTGCTTCTAATGAACTCAATAGAGCAAAAAGTGATGGGATGTCACCGTCATGATTAGGTTACAAAAGACTGACTTCCATCTTCCTAACAGTCTCTCTTTATCTCTTGCTGGCACCACTCACTCTCTCTCGTCTTCTTGACTTGCATGCTTTGATGGAGCTAGCTACCGTGTTGGAGGGGTCCACATGGCAAGGACTGAAGGCAGCCTTTGGCCAACAGTCAGCCAGGAACTGAGACCTTCAGTCCAATAGCATATGAGGAATTGAATCCTGCCAACAACCACTCAGTGAACTTGTAAGGGGATCCTGCCACAGTTGAACCTTAAGGTGAATGTGGTCTAAGCTGACAGCTTGATTGTAGCCTCCTGAGAGACCCTGAAGCAGAGACACCTATCTAAGCCATTTGTGGGTTCCTGATGCACAAAAATTGGGAGATAAAAAATGTTATAAGCCAGTAAATTCCAGGGTAATTTGTTATGCAGCAATAGATAACCTCTTATCCATTTTTATCCTATCTACAATAATTTGTATTGCTCTCTCCTCAGATTGTTCTGGATTCCCATATATATTATCATATTTCCACCTATGCTTTAAAGTATACAGATATAATATTGCTGTTTGAGATGTTACCCTAGTTTCTAAACTATTCTCTTAAAACATCTTTTCCATATCCCTTTTCATTCCCCCCACCACCACTCCCAGTTTTCCTCATATGTTGTTTCTTCAGTCAGTGGAAACACAAAACACAAGATGTTTGGACAGCTGAGGAGCATTGCACATATTATACAATTTACCTAAGCTTTGTTTTTTTTCCTGATAAAATCCTGTATCATGAAAAAACTTTTAAAAATATCTGATTATGAATATTTATATAAAAAGCTTGAAGGCTATAAACATGAGAGATAAATTACTCAAGTATTAATATAGGTATTGTGTAATTCACTATTAGTAATCATGAACCCTTGAAAAAATTAGTAATGAACTTAGGATGACATTCTTTGTTTAAAATTCCACTTAAATGTTGCTTTCCATTTGCTTCTATTCTTTTTATAAAACTAAGTTTTGAAAGTTGGAGCTGGTAAGATTTTAATCAAAATCGTACACAATTATGACCAACGCCACCAATTAAAGTCTTCATAACTCTACTATTCTTTACTGTTGCCCAGCAGGACTTCTCTACCTCAGGGAACTAGCCTGAACCCATGTGACACACCAATTTAATTATTTACTGCTTCTAACTCAGCTAGATGAGTCTCCACATAATGAGAGAAATTATAGAGTTCTCATTTCCATATTCTTTTATGCTTTCCTCCTTAGAAAATGTCAATGTCAGTGACCTTTTCTATCACCTAGTCTTGGTTTTATGGAAACGCGTGTTTATCTCCATCTTCACAGAGTATCTCCAAGCTCACCTCACGTCTTCTCACAGGTAACCTGGTTAAGGCCTGTGACCTTCCAGGTGACGTCTGACCCCTTTGCTTTCATGAAGTCCATGTTAATTCACCACGGAGAAACAAGTAGAGCCTCAAACCCCTGGCTAGAGTGGGTTCTAGGTCATTGTTCCAACTATTTCAACCCATTTAGACACACAGTTATACACGCGTACATAAAGGACCCTCTGCACACTCATGTCCATGGTGTGGCTGATGGATTTGGCTCTACCTATCCGCAGCGTTCCCACAGCCAACAACGGAGGCCTGAGCGACCTCACCATCTATTTACAAATGGAAAAAAATAAAAGACAACTGGGGAGAGAAATAAAGGAATATGTAATAGATACAATCAGTTACCAGGTAATCCTATGTCAACCAAATCTAAAATGCCAACTCAACAATGCCACAGTAGCTTCTTGTGTTGTTTTGACACATCATCAAAAGAGTTAAATGCCTAATTGGAGGCCACACAACTTTCTTTGATGAGCATTGAATTCATTATGGCACACTACATACGTATGATGGTTTCCTTGTAACAAACCAGCATACCTTACTAGGAACTGATGGTTTCCTTTATTTCAAATGGTATTATTTTCTAGTCTGGAGTCTTGATTATTTTGTCTAGAAGAACAGTCTTTGTGGATTTGTTTTGCTCTCACATCCCTGAGTTAAATCTATTTCTATATTTTCAAGTGCTCTTTTGTGTTGGTTTTGATGTTGAAATCAAATTGTATATATTGTGCTAGAGAGTAAACACAGGAGATCAAGACTCTGCACTGATACCTACACTGCGTGCTGAAAGGCCCCCTCTGGTTGTCCCTCTGGCACGTGCCTACCCTACTCCAACATTTGGAAGGCGCTGGTGCACTTGTCTGGTAAAAGAGAAAGGATTTGCCTCCACATCCACACACCTACCTTTCAGTGTTTCAATGTCATAGAAAGTTGCCGCAAACCTGGTGGACCGATGAGATGCTGAGCGAGAGTCCATGCCGGTGAGACCTTTGAGCTTCAGTCGGCATCTCCACAGCTTCCAGCCCTCAGAGTGCGTGATTCGCAGCAGTTCCTCCAAACTAGAGGCAGCCCTAATCTGCTGCTCAGATCGTTCTAACATGGACCGAGATGCCCGCTTAAAAGAAAAAATACTGGCTTAATAGCAGGTTACCGGGAAACAGTTTGGCGGTTCCTTGAAAAGTTAAACATAGAATTGTCATATGACCCAGCAATTCTACTCCTAGGTATATACCCAAAAGAATTGAAAGCAGGGACTCCAACAGATCCTTGTACACCAATGTTCACTGCAGCATTATTCACAATAGTCAAAAGGTGGAACAACCCAAGTGTCCATCAGTAGATGAATGGATAAACAAAATGTGGTACATACATACAATGAAGTATTATTCAGCTAAAAGGAGAAATGAGGTTCTGGTACATGCTACCACATGGAAGAACCTTGAAAACATTATGCTAAGTGAAAGAAGCTAGTCACAAAAAGGACAAATATTATATGACCTCACTTACATGGAATATCTACAATAGGCAAATGCATGTAGATGGAAAGTAGATTAGTGGTTACCAGGGGCTGGGGGGAGGAGTGATGGGGAATTATTGCTTAATGGGTATTGGGTTTCTGTTTGGAGTGATAAAAAAGTTTTGAAAATAGTGTTAGTGGTTGCACAACATCATGAATATAATTATTGCCACTATATTGCACACTTAAATATGGTTAAAACAGCACATTTTATGTTAGATATATATGTATTTTTGGAGCCCTAGTGGCACAGTGGTTAAGAGCCCACCCAGCTGCTATCCAAAAGGTTGGCAAGTTTGAATCCACCAGCTGCTCCTTGGAAACCCTATGGGGCAGTTCTCCTCTGTCCTGTTGGGTCGCTATGAGTCGGAATCGACTCAACGGCAACGGGTATATATATTTTTGTTGGTGGTAGTTGCCATTGAGTTGATTTGGCAACCCCACGTGTGCACAGTAGAACTGCTGCATAGGGTTTTCAAGGCTGTGACATTTCGGTAGCAGATTGCCAGGCCTGTCTTCCTAGGCACCTCTGAGTGGGTTCAAATCTCCAACCTTTTGGCTAGTAGATGAGCCACCCCGGGACTCTCTCTCTATATTTCACCACAGTAAAAAAAAAAAGCAAGGTACTAAATTTTCAGTTTGTCTTGCTAACCTTCATTGCTGACACTTAAAAATGGAAATGGAAATAAGAGAAACTATTCAAATGCACACCAATGCCTATGAAAAATGTCTTCTAGTATTTTTGATTCCCATTCTGTTCATTTGTGATTGAATCAAAGCATTTACTTATTCCTCTGGGGTTCTCAGAACGTTTAAAAACAAAGTTTATCATAATATTCTTGTGACATTAGCCAATGACAATTGTCTTCATCTCTGTTTGTCTGACAAACTGATGCCCAAAGGCCCAGCGACTGCCTACAGTCACACAAGAAAGACTGCAGGACCCTGGGTACTGGAATTTTCTGACTTCTAGACTTCTGCTTCTTTTTTTTTTTTAAACCTGTTTGCTATTTCAAAAACGGGATTTTTCTTTTTTATGATAAAATAGACCTCCTAGGGTTTACGGTGAAAAAATTGCTTTCTACACAATTGCATGAATTCTGTGGCCTGATATATACTGCATGGGCTTCTGAGAAAGACTTGGTCAATAAAAGATTTTCCCTACGTAATTTAATGGTTCAAAATCGGCAGGTTGGTTACATAAATCACGATACATTCCCACTATGAAATATTATGCAATCACCAAGGCCAATGATGTAGATGGATATTGTGACAGAAGGACTTGAAGACCTTCTTCCTCCTTGGAATGTGCTGGAGAAACAATTAAGTGGTCTGTCTACTGTCTACGGCTGGGGCCTGGGATTTGGTTTTGCTGAGCTTGTTTGGATAACTGCTGGGTTTTTGTTTGGCTGGGTGGGTGGAATTCGCAGGCCAAGGGGATTTTGACAGAGAAGTTGCAACAGACACATTCATGGTAGTTTCTAGAGCCTTCCAGACTCAGAGTCTGTCAGTCTTGCAGCTTCAACAATGTTTTTTACCATTTTTGCAGATGTCAGTCTTGTGTTTTTGCAGTTTGATCTGTTTTATATTTTATCTAGTATTGCTATGGACTACGAAAGATCTCAAGACATGAATTTACAAGGCCATCTTGCTTGGAAGTCCAGATGTAATTGTGTGTGTGTGTGTGTGTGTGTATTTTTAAGAAAGGTGGAAGAACCTTGAACATATTTGTAAGCTGAGGGAATGAGTCAATAGAGAGGAAGAAACTGAGAACATATGCAAGTGAGATGAAGCAGGGGCTGGTTTGACTTGTGTTCCAAAGATAAGCGGACGTATTTTGAATGGATGAGGGGGGCGCCTCTGAAGCAAGAGGAAGGTTGGGAATTACATGCATTTGTAATAGCAGGGCTGCCTGGGCAGTTGAGTGAGCTCATACCTATGATTTCTCACTTCTCTGTCAGGTTCGAGTCAAGGCAATTTTCTGGGAGTGAGGGGAAGTGGAAGCTTGAGAAGCATAGATAGGGTTTGTGGAATAGGCATTGAATTTGAGCAGCGTGCCACAGCTTGTTTATCCAAGAAATCTGTAGATAAAACTGAGTAATGGTTAATGTCTCTAGCAACTCTGAAATTCTGTGATTCTCCATGAAGGCTCATTTGTCAATATTCTCTTTCCAGATTATTCACTTCCTCATTCCTTCTAGCTGGACAGTGTAACTACTTCATATCCAACTGAATCTTTGAAGTAAATTTTTGTTACAATACTGCTTCCATATGAAAATACTGAAAGCAATCAGTTTTTTTTTTAAAGTTTTTTTTTAAATTGTACCATATTTAAAGGGTTTTTATTTCTCGAGCCAAACAGCACCCAGTGCCATCCATAAATACAGACTGATGTATGACTTCATGGTTCTTGCAGGTTTCAAATCAATCTCACAAATATTTAAAAATGATCCAACTGTGAGAACTCAGGAGGAAATATCAAATCTTTGGATTGAATTAAAGCCATTGAACGACCCACGTGACTTTGCCTCACCACAGAAAATGCAGTGTATACTCAAGTCCTCAGTTCTTTAAGTATACTTTAAGAGCCATAATTTAAAACCTAGTCTGAAATAACTCAGAGATTGTAGACACTCATTCCACTATTGTAAGTGGAAACACTAACAAGGCAACCTAAGTAGAAACCTGACAACCAGTTCATGGAAGGTGTGCACTTAAAAAGGGTCAAGAATCGCTGGCTGTTTCCAATAGGCTTTCAGCACTGGTTTAGTTTGGTGCAATCAGCTTTAGGCTGTCTGTGTAAGACACAAAAATAAAAATTGAAAAGTGTAAGTATAGTTTCAAATACATATTTAAACCATTGATTTCAACACTTTTAGCTACTTATCATTAACCAAATAAATTGCTCTTAGTATCTTCCTACCTCCTGATGAAAGTGCTAATCAAAGTGGAAATAATCCAAAAGCAGTCAGCAAGGGGAAGTGAAGCAGGGGTACCAGATCTCTGCTTTTTATTATAGCAGTTTTTTTTTTTTGTTTTGTTTTTTTTGGTAATTAATCCAAGACTGTTAGCAATTCCTTTCCTAAGTAACAAATCATTCTCTGATGTCTCGGCTACCACAAGCCAGCATCTAAATTGTGAGGCTTAAAGTCTTTGTTTAAAGACTTTGCTATTTGTTGTTAGCTGCCGTCCAGTCCATTCTGACTCCTGGCGACGCCATGTGTGCAGAGTAGGACTGCTCCATAGAGTTTTCAAGGCTGTGACCTTTTGGAAGCAGATCGTCAGGCCTGTCCTCTGAGGCACCTCTGGGTGAGTTTGAACAACCAACCTTTTGGCTAGTAGTGGAGCACTTAACCCTTTGCACCACTCAGGAACTCCTAACAAGACTTTACCATCATTTGAATGTATACTGCTTTCTGCAGCACAGTATGGAGGGTAGTCATTTCTTCTTTTGTTAATTTCTAAATTCACATGACATTCTCCCCTGGAGGAAGCAGGGGCATCTCCATAGCTTAGAGTTCAGCAGTAATCTCAGCCAAGTGTGGCCAACATGGTAGGCAAGCTGTTTGGAGAGTGTGATCATTAAGGTTGTGTATCAGTTTGGCTGGGCCATGATTCTCAATGGTTTGGCAGTTATGATGTAGTTTGGCAGTCATATAATGATGTGATCACCTCCATGATGAGATCTGATATAATGTGATCACCTCCATGACAGGATCTGCTATGAGTAGCCAATCAGTTGAAAGGGAGTTTCCTTGGGGGTATGACCTGCATCCAATATAGGGGGACTTTCTGGCAAGGCTCGTGGGCTTTTGCTTGCTCTGGATCCTGCAACTAACTCCTGTTCATCTGACCTCCGGTTCTTGGGACTTGAGCTAGCAGCTTTCCTGCCGATCTTGGGATTCGTCAGCCTCTTCAGTCTGGATCTTGGGTTTGCCAGCCCCTACAGCTATACGAGTTGAGAGAGGCCTCCAGCCTGACCCATGGACTTGGGACTTTCCAGTCTCTACAACCATGTGAGCCATTTCTTTTTTATAAATCATTCTCTCTCTCTCTCTCTCTCTATATATATATACACACACAGATGCTTCACTGGTTTTGCTTCTCTAGAGAACCCAGTCTAAGACAGAAGGGTATGGTGGCTAGGTTTGTAGGAGGAACTTGGAGGTGTCCATGTGGTGGGGAAGTCAAAGGCCTTCCATTCTCCTGCTCTTTTGAACTCTCAATTTCCATCCCCTTTCCCCGCCAAATATATATATATATATATATATATATATACACATATACATATATATATATACATATATATATATATATCAAGTCAGGCAACACATTCTAAGGGTGAACAAAGGCATGGTTTTGAGATATCAAGGAGCTCACTGAAAAAACAGCAACAGATTCACTTCGGTTGGAACACAGAGCAGGTTTTAGAGTGGGAGGACTGGGAAATGAGATTAGAAGCAGGGATTGGCACAGTGAGATGCCACTTCACACCCACTAGGATGACTATAATAAAAAATACCGATAATACCAAGTGTTGGCGAGGATGCAGATCAAAGAGAACCTTCATACATTGCTGATGGGACTGTGAAATGGTG